AATTGCTATTTATAAAAATGGGCTCATTCTGAAATAGCATTGTACAGCTTGTTTTTTTCATATTGTTATACATAGATATGCCTCTTTCTGTCAAATGGCTGCAGAGTATTCCAGAGTATAGATGTGCTGTATTTTATATGAACATTCCCTTATCGATAAGCACTGAGGTAATTTCCAATTTCTTTTTTATTCTTACCAGCGATTCTGCTGTGAGCATCCTTGAGTGTTTATATGTGACTGTCTCTGGTATGGTTTCTGTAGGAGAAGCTCCTAGAAACGGGATTACTAGTTTGTAGGGTATGTGGGTTTAAAGCGTTCTCCGATATCACCAAATTACCCTTCCAAAGGTTGAGCCAATTCCCCCTCTCTCCAATGGTCGATGAGTGCTCATTTCCCTACATCCTTGCCAGCACTGGTTGTTATCAATCATTTTAATTTTTCCCAATCTGATGGGCAAAAAATGGTATCATGTCATTTTCATTTGCATTTCCCTGATTGCTAGAGAGATAGAACATCTTTTCATGCATTTATTGACCAACTGAGCTCTTCCTCTGCGGATTTCTATTTCACTGCCAATTTTCTCTTCTTTTGTCTTTTTTCTTATTGATTTGTAGCGGCTCTTTGTATATTAGTGATGTTTTCTTCCAGTGTCTCACTTGCTTTTTAACTTGCTTATAGTGTCTTTTGCCATACAGATGTTTTACGTGTTTATGTACTTGGATTTATCAAATTTTCACTTTATGTCTTCTGGATTTAATGTCTGGCATAGAAAGCCTTCCCCCACTGCATAAGATTTCATTTCAAATAAGAATTTTATTGCTGAAAAATCCTTGCAAAGCTCCAGTTTGCAGGCTTCTCCTGGCAGCTGCAGCACCGGCTCTGGGGGAGGGAGGGATGGGCCGTCTGTCCTTTCTTTTCCGTCACTGCCTTTCCATCCGTCTGTCTGGCTTTGGAGTCGTGGTCACTCTGTCTCTCATGTGCTTGCCCCCTCCTTTCTGTGTCTCTACTGTGTTTCTACCCCCAGCTGGTTTCCCGTGATGGCAGTAATTAGGAATGTGAGATGGCAGCCATCGCAGTCCTCGGTGGGTTGGGAGGCTGGCGGGAAACGTGCCCAGTCCCCTCCTAGCCTAGCCCCAAATCTTGTGGGCTGGTGGGGCATGCCCTGGCCCAGTTTTCTTTTTCAGAGACACTCATTTCCTGCTGGGAGCCTTAGGGCAGTCTCTGAGCCAGTCTAAGTCCCTCTTCCACTGGGAAGCCTTCCTAGATAGTTCCTTCTTCCACTTCCACGGTCCCAGACCTGGCCTCTCTTTGTCCTCACCCGTCGTTCCCCATCTTGCCTTCTCAGCGCTGAGCAACCTGGGGCCACCTCTTGGGAACTCGGTTTCCACTTGGGTAAAATAGGTCCTGGGGTCTGTACCAGCTGCTGAGAGGGACGGCCCATGTAGGATACAGCCGAGCTCTGGGAGGTGTGCCCTCCTGCCTGCTCAGTATTAACCCCCTGCCAAAAAACCCAAACACCATAGGAGAGAACTTTCCTGTTGCTAATAGAGAGATTGGAACTTAGTTCCACAAGGGCAGTGACCGATGGCTAGGGCTCCCTTGTTCTCTGCCCAGTGCAGGGCCCCAGGCCCAGGGCAAGGCTTGCCTCGAGGGAGGTGCCAGGGAAAGCAGGAACAAGTCAGGAAGCTGCTGAGCCTGGGGCAGTTGGCGGGGGAGGGGGAGGGCAGGCAGGCATGGCATTCTGGGAGCTCCTTTTGTGTAGCAAGGCACTATCCTCATGAGTCCTTATTCCTAGGGACATGGGGAACACCTCCGGGTGTTGAGGGCCCCAGGTGGGCTCAGTGTTGCCTCACCCTGGAGGCCTCTATATGGGGCCGTCAGGAGGCTCTGGGCTGAGGAAGCAGCTGGGAGACGAGTCAGGGAGATCCAGAGTCTCTTTGAAGCATGGCTCAGAAGTGTGGCACTGAAGTCTCTGAGGAGACCTTCTCTGGGCTCCCGTGGCTCTCTGGACTTCTGTCCCAGCACCTTCCTTCTGCCTGTGATGGCCTGTCTCCTCTCTGAGCTCCTGGCAGGTAGGAGCGGTGTCTTTTACGTCTTTTTATTCCAATCATCAAGCACAAAATAGACCCTTACTAAGACTAGAATGAATGAATGAGTAAATGAATGAATGAATGAACAAATGGATGGATGGATGGATGGAAAGCTGGGGGTGTTGGGTAGAGGGTTCAGGTCTGCGGAAGAAGAGACATGGGTTCTGGGCTTGTCTTTTTGGCTGACTTGCTGGGTGACTCTGCCCTCAGTCTCCCCATCTGCTCAGTGGGTGTGGGTCTCTCAAGCTCTGTGGTCCTATGACTGTGTTGACCAGAGCAGGCACATACCTGTGTCTCTCTGTCTCTCTCCATCTGCCCATCTCCCCCTGCCAGTACCAACCTCTCTGATGGTGGTGTTTGCTCAGCACCTGCTGGGTGCTGCCCCACAGAATGGAACCCACTTGGGCGGCACCCTGGAGTGCCAGTTTCTGCAGGAGTCTCACCTCCCCAGGGCACGTGGCAATTCTGTTGAACACACAGGCCTCTGATTCCTGCAGCTGCCAGGGCTCCACTGAATGGGCAAGGAGCCAGGAGAGCAGGTGGGAAGCCCCCCACCTCTGTGGTGGTCTCCTTACCTCTCTTGGCTGTGAGGTCAGCAGCCGGGATTTCACGTCCTTCGTGGAACTCGGCACAAAAGCAGGCCCCGGGCCCAGGAGAGCTCCTGGCTCCCACTGCGTCTCCTTGCCCCAAATCATTGTCATGCTCTGCCTGTGGTCCCATTTCCATAGCAACTCCTTGTGATGCCACTGAGGAGAGTGGGAGCTTCAGGAAGGTTTGGGGAGGAGGGAGCAGGAGGCCCATTCATTATCTTGGAATATGGCAGCTGGGTGGCTTGGGGTGGCGCTGACAGAATGGCTTGCCCTGCCAAGCTCAGGTGGCACTGGGCTCAGGGCTACCAGCCAGGTGGTGTGGAGGCCTACCAGGAACAGGGCTGCCCGGGTTGGCCTGGGCCTGGCTGGCTTGTGCCAGTCTACCTGGTGCCAGCTTGCACAGCCACTGGGGGCACCCCTGCCTGGCTAGGACCTGGCTTGGAGGACCTAGGCCTGAGGGACTGCTCAGGCTGTGGTTACCCATCTGTCCTAGGCTGGCACCACTCTGTCCTGTCTTGTCCTTTAGGAACAGCAACCTTTGGAAGACACTGCTGGGGCTTGCTGGCCGCAGGGGGCAGAGTTTGGGGCTGGCTAACTGTGGGGCTAGGCAGGTCCCCTGTTATGGGATCTACCCTGTGCATAGCTCTGTTGTCAGGTCAAGAAAGCCACGGTGGGCCTAGAAACCTGCTCAGTGCCCATTTCTCTGTCTCATTCTTTGAGAGGTTGGCAGCCCATGAAACAAGAAGTCTCTTGCCTCCAAAGAGTCCCTCCATCTTAACCTACCATGTAGGTGAGAAATTCTACCATTCACATCTTAGACTTGACGGAATATTGATCTTGGGAAGGACCCAGAGGCCTTTGCTGTCTTCTGCCCACACGATGGCAACACCTCCGCACCCTATCCACCCATGCTTCCTTCCATTCGTTCCATCTGGCAGGCCTCATGAGTCCTCCTGGGGACCTAGGCCTGTGCTGGACGGTGCCATGTGGGGAACCAAGAGGGAAAGGAGGAGCCAGCCTGGCCCTCGAGGGAGGAAGGGCGCTGCTGACCCTTGTGAGGGCTGCTGGGAGCCAGGCCAGGTGAGAGGCCAGCTCTCCCCATCTCCCTCCCATTGTCACGGGCTTGAGCCACCGCTGGAGGCCACTTGTACTCTTGTTTTCCTAATCCTGGTCTTCGTGTTGACTCACATTTGAAAGTGGGTTTCCCAGCGCTCCCCAAGCCACACATCCGTGAAGTCACGGCTACGGTGTGCTCATACTATTGATATTTTTGATACACGGAAGAATAAACACATAACAATGAAAATAAAAGCATTTGTCTGCGTACCACCTAGACTCCCCTTGTGCCTGCACACACTTTGAGAAGCGCCGATCAGCTGGGAGGGATTTGGGGCTTCATCTGAGAGGTGGAGGAAACCAGGTCTCAGGAGGGAGCTCAGCCCAGGCCACACAGCTGGCACGCATGAGAGCTGCCTCCTTGGACTTCCAGCCCGAGGCCTGTGTCTGGGGGCCTTGCCAAGGAGACTGAGCCCCCTAGTACCCTTCCCCACTCATGGAAGTTGCCCTTGGAGAATATTTGGTGAAGGAATAAATCAGGAGACGTGGAGAAGGAAAGGATGGGTGGGCAGGTCCTTGGGAACCAGGAGGCCAAGGCTCAGGCCACAGGAGAGGCACCCTGGTGCTCTGCCTGCACCCCTCTCTAGGGTCAGCCCCCAGGCCTGCCTCCTGGGCCAGGTGCTGGCTGGATACCACTGAGCACCAGGCCGGGTGCTCCTTCTCTCTATTTATCTTCCCAGTGGACCAGGCAGGAGCACCCGTATCCCCATTTTATGGACAAGGCAAGTGAGGTTCAGAGATTTGATCGTCCCAAGATCATAGAGCCAGTGTATGGGGAAGCATATTCAGAGCCCCACCCCCAACTTGGGGCCAGAAACCCCACCATTCCCAGGGCCCCACCTGCTGCAGCTGGTGGCACGTGAGTGTGTGTGTGTGTGTGTATGTGTGAGAGTACATGTGTGTAAATGCCAGTGTGTGAGTGATATGTCAATGTGTCAGTTAGTGTAGTAAGTGTGTGTATGTATTTGTGTGAGACCATATGTGTGTATAAGCGAGTGGGAGCATGCCAACGAGTGAGAGCACATGCGTGTGTGTGTCAGCAAGAGGGAGTGTGTGTGTGTGTGATGTATGTTTATCGCCCAGCCTGGTGCAATCAGACCCACTTGTGTGTTGTGTGCATACCACCCCCCCCGCCCACCGCTCCCTGGAATTGCCCCCTGCGGCCTGGCCCTGGCTGACAGCTCATCTCCTCTTTCTCCCACAGCCTCCTGTGCCCACAGCCCCTGAGGCTCCGGTGCCTACAGGCAAACAGGGCGACTGAGTCACACCCAGGCTGACCCCAACCCACTTGCCTTTCCCCAACGCCTGCCTGACCTGAGGTAAGAGGCCACCGTGTTCCGCAGGGCAGAGGGGGGGAGGCAGGGGCCAGGGAGGCAGGTGTGGGGTCCCCAAGGGAGAGGCTGTAGGGAGGCCATGGAAGAGCAGTCTTTTTGTGGGCTCCCCCCTCTCTCCCGCCCCACAGGAAGCCAAGTCTGGGCAGTTTGATGTGGCAGTGCCACCTTCTGCTGTCCCTTGCGAAGGCAGGGCTCTGAGAGCCAGATCCCCAGCCTGGGATGTTTGGCGTGACATGGTTTCATGGATGCGCCAGCCAACGGGTTCCTGTGTGGTGTGGGAGGGCACCGATGGTGAGCCGGAGGGATCTGTCCTTGGTTCGGTCACATTGTTGGCCAGATATATGCATGACTTCAGAGGGAGAGGGAACGTGTGGATTAAGACTGTCAGGGCCCCAGAAACTGCCAAGAGACACTGGCACGGACCCCAGTGTGTGGAGTTTACCGGAGCTCCCAGCCAGAGTCAGCACACAGATCTGGACGCCTGCAGGGCAGGAGGAGGCTCAGTCCCAGGTGTGGGTGTGCGACAAGTACTGGCAGCCAGGTGACCTTGGCTCTGTGTGAGCAGAGTGGATGGCTTGGACCGTATCATGAGGAGTGGGGTATTCAGAATGTGGGAGGTGACAGGCCCTCCCACTGTGTCCCATGTGAGGCAAGTCCTGAAGAAGTGGTAGGTGGGGAAGGAAGGGGACCTGGGGTACTGCCTGACTTGACTCCTGGCTTGCTTGTGACCTTGGACAAGTGACTTCTACCCTTTATCTGGGCCATTCCGCTGTTCTTTACAGGCTTCTGGGACCCATGAGAAGGCTGCAGAAGGGCTTTGCTAACTAGAAGGAACGCTAGGGGAAGGCTGGGGGCAGCAGGCTGGACTGCAATGTTATACCCATTTTTCAGAGGAAGAAGACCCAGAGGCTCAGCAGAGCAGTGGGCCTCGAACCCCTTCTCCTGAAGGATTAGGTGACAGTGATGGTGTGGGCGAGGCTTAGCCAGTGCTGGCCTCCCCCCCAGGAAGCTGGTGGGGTGTGGCAGGGAGCCGACCGTTGGATTTCCTTCCGGACTCTAGGCCTCGCTTTGAAGTCCAGTTATCTCTATCGAAATCTTCCTGCTAATCAGTCAGTTCTGGGTGGATTGAGCAGCTAATTAGCCCCTCTGGTTTAACCTGTAATTGCTGCTGGGAGATGGGGAGAGGATGTGGTCAGGGTTATTTGCAAGGCCACCAAGGGCGATGGGAGGGCTGTGGGCAGGGGCATCAGGGAGGCAGGGAGGCCGGGCCCTGCCCCCAGCCTCATCAGGGGCCACACGCATCCTCCCTGCTGCCCAGGGGGACAGCCCCAGGCAGCAGGAAGCTCAGCGGGCAGAGACAGACTGGGGAACTAATGTGGGGCGCAAGCGGCTCCCTCAGCGGGGCTGTGGGGCTTGGAGGAGGGGACACCTGGGCTGAGCTGTGAAGGCTAACGGATTCTTTGAAAATGTTCTATTTTTCTCATTATTTAAAAAAAAAACAAAAAACAGCACGCATTCTCTATAGAAAACATGAGCATTTGAGTGTTTTGCCTGTCAGTCTTTACCAAATATGTATTTATGACATAATTGGGATCAGACTGTACTTACTGTGTTCTAACCTGCCTTTTGTTCTTCATACTATACCAAGATCATTTTCCCATCGTGAAATACTCTTCTGTAATGTGATTTTTAATGGCAGCATAATGTTCCAGCCTGTGTGTGCTGTAGCATGTGTAACAATTCTCCCTTACATATTTTGATTGTTTCCAACTGTGTGTCATTATAAATAATGCCTGCCCCAGCAGGAAGACCTATGCAGGGTTTTGATGGTTTGGGGGAGGGGAGGATGTAGCGGCAGGGACTTTGGAGGGTTTGAGGAGTGCCGTGCCTAGGAGGGCGCAGGGCTGGTCCCGGGGAGTTTCTGAGGGGTGCCGGGGGGCTGAGACCTGACCTAGCAAAGCTCTGGAGGGTTTGCCTCACTGCCTCCTGCCTCCCATGCCCGCCCCACTGCCCACTCCTCTGGTGCTCCTGTGGTTGGAAGGGAGGGGGCAGGATGGCAGGGTGGGGGAAGGACAGGCAAGGCTGAGGGTCCCAGGTGCTGCAGCCCTTGACTTCTCGCTCACTGGTGGGCTCAGGGGCACTTAAATCAAGCCCCTCTGTCTCTGGCGAGCCCCGCTCGGCTCTCCACCTTGGAGGAAGGATGCACACAGAGGCTCTGAACATTTACTGACTCCTGAATCAGAGAAGCCTTCCTTCATCCCCTTGCTGGGAAGTGGAAGGTGGCCCCTGATCCCGAAGAGCCAGGGAGGGAGGCTGGGTGTGTGATGTCACTTTTGGGAGGCTTCTCTGAGCTCCGGGCTCATCCCCAGTACTCCAGACTAGACAGAAGAAAAACCAGATTAAGTAAATTCACTGTATAAGGTTAGGGAGTAATAAGTGCCATGGAGAAAAATAAGGTAGGAAAAGGGAGTGGACGAGCAGGGGAAGCCGTTCTCTGCAGGGTGGTCAGGAAAAGGCATCTCAGGTGAGGTGCCCTTTGGAGACCTGAGGGGAGTGGACAGGCCCTGAGCTGGGAGCAGCCGGTGGGGAAGAGGGACTGAGAAATAGGGCCGTGCAGGGCCTTGAGTTAGGATGGATGGAGGTGATTTGTGGCTCAGAGGCTACCACTCACTGCCTCATGGGGAAAGGGCTGGGGGGGAGGGGCAAGAGTAGAGGCTGGTCGGTGGTTAGGAGGCTCCAGCATCCGTCCAGAGAGAGATGGCAGGCCAGGCCTAGGTGGGGAGGCTTGGCTGCTTGAGGCAGGCTGAGGATGGGCTGCGGGCGAGGGGAGATCAGAGCCTGAGAACAGGGTGGTGCAGGCTTTGACTGAGCTAAGCAACCGGGGTCTGAGCAAGGGCAACGAAGAGTCCTGCTTGGAGGCAGCTCCCACTATGTTCAGACCACGGTCCCCGGTCGCAGCCATACGCCTGGCCCTCTGTGCATCTCTGCACCTGAGAAGCCAGGCTCCACGTGGCTACGAGGCTGTGGGTCTGTGAGGCTGCCGCTGAGGCAGAGGCTGGTGCTGGGTGTGTGAGGGAGGGAGTCGGGGGCTTCTGGTGCGGGGTGTTTTAAAGCTTCTGAGGCTGGACCAGGTCTCGAACCTGGGTGATCCAGCCCGGGGGGTCTCCCTGCCTGTGGGGGTGCCTGTTACTCTAGCCTTGCGACGAGCTCTCTGGAATGACCAGCCCAGAGAGACTGCCGCCAGCTTCCCTCCCAGCTGCTCCTCCCAAATGGCCTCACGGTTGGCACTGTCATTTTGTAACATTCTTCAGGGCTGCTGTGGGCAGGGAGTGGGGTGCGGATACTGGGCCCAACTTCTCACACTGTCCCCGCAAAGGGAGCCTCAGCTGGGGGGCTCTGGAGCAGTCCAGGCCCCTCTGAGCCCTCCTGTTGGTCACTACTACAGGCCTGCCTTCATGCCATGCTCCTCCTCAACAGCCCCCCCCCCCCCCCCACAGGGGTTCCTTGCTGTCTGAGGTTGAGCTCCAGACTCCTCCTTCTGGGTATTCAGGGCCTGTTGTGATTTGGCTCAAGGCTGCCCTTCCTATCCTTCTTCTTTCCAACAAGGGACCCTTGTCCTCCATCCCACCCACAGCAGGCTCCATCTCACCTTCCATTACTTCCGTCTTGAAAGCTTTTCTCCCCACCAGCCACATCCCACCCCTTCCAGAATGCCTCCCCCACTCTCCTACCCACTTCGGCCCCTTTGAATGGCTGTTGGTACCTTTTATCTAGGGCGCTACCCTGTCATTTTGCTGTCATAGTCCTCACCTTGTCTTTATCTTTGCCCTGCTCACCCTCTCCTGCCTCAGTCCCCTGCTTGAGTGTTGCCCCTGTCCTCTGCTCCATTATCAAAGCTCTTCCCAAATGGAATCGTGCTCAACCCCTGGAGCTCAACCCCTGGAGCCTGGCTCTGCATCAGGGACCCATCAGGACCTTCTGATCCAGAGTCACCGGGGGAACCCAGGAATCTGGATGGCTAATGAGCCCCACAGTCACTTTTGATGATCAGCCAGGTTGGGCTGTGCTGGCCCAACCCAGACTCACGCTGGGGGAGGGCCAGTGTCCCTGGGAGCATGGCCTCTGACCTTTCCTTGCACTCTGGCCGGGATGGGGACCTCGCTCTCTCCAGGCCAGCCCAGGCCCCAGGGGCAGCTCTGCTATGGACACAGCTCCACCTTGTGCTGACTGAACTGAACGTGCCTCTCTGAAGCCTCTGTGGGTGGGTCTAGGCTCCACATGGGGCGGGGGCTGTGTTTGGCACCTGGAAGCTCTCCTTTCCTACTCACAAGGGTTAGGGGGCGGTGAGGGGGCTTGGCAAAGCGTGGGGAGTTGGGTGATGTCTGTGGCTTGATGGAGGACTTACCTCCGGCCATGTCTGCCTGCCTGGAGCAGCTCCCACTATGTTCAGACCGTGGTCGCAGCCACACTCCTGGCCCTCTGTGCATCTCTGCTGACTTAGCTGACCTGAGGGTGTTTCGAGAGCTCGGCCCATTCCTCGTCTCCTCCTTATCTCAGCCGAGTGGAAAGTGGTTGCTGGGATCCTGTCCGTTCTCACAGGCACTCATCGGGGGCCTACTGTGTGCTGGGGCTGATGGGAACGAGCCAGGGGTAGAGAAGGTGGGGTGTGTGTAGAGGGACACAGCTGCCGCAGGCCTGAGTCAGCATGAAAAGCTGGGTGTGTGGGTGTCGCGGTTTGCTGGGTCTGGTGACAAGGCACCACACGTGGGGGCTTACACAGAAATGTGTTGTCTCCCAGCTCTGGAGGCTGGAAGTCAGGAAGCACGGTGTCGACGGGGCTGTGAGGGAAGGGCCTGTCCGTCAGTGGCTTATAGATGCCCATCTTTCCCGTGTCTGGCCATATCGTCTTCCTTCTGTGTGCGTCTTATCCAAATCTCCCTTTCTTTTACGGGCACAAAGCCATATGAGATTAAGGGCCCACCCTA